AAAACTCTGTGGTGACATGGATGAGATCCGTTCTCAGCACCTTAGACCTCTAGAAGTGTTCGGGCTAAATTATAACATAAATTTCTATTTAAAGGTTCTATAGACTAAAGATGTTTGGTTTTGATAAATTCAGGATGAATCTTCCGCGGTAAAACAGAACATTTGCATAATAATACGGATCAGTGATTTTATGCTTTAAGTTAAACTAATATAAAATGTGAAATAATCTTTTCCAGCAGGAGTTGGATTGAGTCTTAGTTCTGGATTACGCTCCTTAATGTGTTTTTGTTTTTTTTCTTTAATTGAATTTACTTTTAAATCCGTCTTAAAATCTGTTGTATTTGTTATTTTCACCTCCATGAGGATAAAAATCCAGAAGTATAATCTAGATCGGATTCAAGTCATGGTAATGCACTGACTGTGGAAAATATGCTGGTTCTCAGATTCTCAGTCATCCAGAGTCACTCCAGAAAAGTAAAAAAAAACAATCCACTTGACTTTGTTTCAGAATTTAAAGACATTTCTCTTCCATCCAGGAAGCTTTTTCAATTCAAAATGTCAGAAATAGCGTTTAGTTCCAGGTTTTAAACAGTAGCCCAACAAAGCCTGGTTTTGGCTTAGAAAACATGCAAATTGAATAATTCCTTCCTTCTATCATCGCATCGCACAGAAGACCTCACCTATTCAGCCAGGCCAACTATTCCCTCTAACGACCCCCCTTTCAGAGACATAGACAGGTATGGGGCATTGCAGGCCAACTATTCCCTCTAACGACCCCCCTTTCAGAGACATAGACAGGTATGGGGCATTGCAGGCTAACAAAGACGCCAAACGACCCCCATTCCAAAGGGGGGGACCCGTTCATCCGTATCTATTTCCATGTTTTCTAAACAATTTTTTTCAAATTTCCTGTTAGAAAACATGCTCTTCTTTGCCACAATGATGGAACAAAATTCACCCCATAAATATCAGGCTGAGTTCTCTGCAGTGAAACTCCTGAAGCAATAAAAGAGTCCATAAGATCCATTGCCTGCATGATCTAAGCTTCACTCCTTTAAACTCAACTAGAGACGCCATTTCTTTTACTTTCAAGTCTTCAAACAGCTGGAGGTCGCACTTTGTTCCTCTGCTGAGGAAATAAATAAAACAACACGACGTAATGTTGGATCCTTCAGCTATTCTCACCTTCATGACTCTGAGTGGAAAAACTGCAACTTCATCATGTTTCACATTTAAAATGCTTACAGCTAAGCTGGGATTCCAGGAATTTTCTGCATTTAAAGCCTCAAATAGAGGAAAGAAATAAAAGTTTGAAGAGAATGAATACTGTTAGCTTAGCACCTGAGGGGAAACAAAGAAGGGAAATAAAACTGCAGAGTTTAAACGTCTTTAATTAACTCATCTTAGTTTTTATGTCTCTAAATGTTTAGTTTCATCTGCAGCAGTTTGTCTTGATAGCAGAATTATTATTGTATCTGGTTTGTAGTTTAGATAATTTATTCTCTTTTTTCTGTTCATTTTTTTTTTTTATCATAATCAGACCTCACAGATGTATGGAGAGGATTTTACTCCATTATTACTTAAAGCCACACATTCTAAAAATGGAATTTATTCATTAAAAGCAGATTTTGAAGATCATTTAAAATGTGTATCATGGAAAAGTTTCAATTAATGTTTATTTCGATCAATTTTTTTATGTTTTCATTTTCTTGATTTAAATTTTGAAATGTTATTTTCTTTTGGTAGACCGAGCTTTACAAATTTTATTTATTTCAAATCAGTTTTTACACTTATGTGGTGAAATGAGGACAGATATCTATTGATCTTTGTGCTGATCATTTTTGTTAAGCTGCAAGCTTTAAAATCAGTCAACTTTTCTCAAAATAAGAGTATTTGATTGATTAGAGCAGATTAATTCAATTATTTATCTTTAAAATAAGAAAAATAATCATTATTTTCAGCATATAATACCTGATTATGTTTGTTTACTCCTTCTGTTAGCAAATCATCCTATTTAGCTGCTTAAATTAAAGGCTAATACATTAAGTTTCTAATTACGGTGCTCTATACTATGCTAACTATTGTTAACAATTCAGAGGATTAGCATTTTATTCTTTAGATATTTATTTATTCTAGTCTGACTGCTAAAATTAACAAAATAAATTTAGCATTATGATGATTACTTAATAATTTACTTGCAGAGGGGCAGCTAAACAGGCTATTGTGCTACTTTCTCATCGGCGGCCATTTTGGTT